CCAATATAAGGCAGTGGGAAGCTGCTTCTGAACTGTTGCCAAGAAAACTCTGGGTTGGGGCCAGTAGTCACTGAGGGATTAACATAATTTCCAAGTGTTTTCAGTAACTGTGTTGCATTATTTAAATAAGAAGCTGGCTGTCTATTCCTTGTTGGCAAATTATGTGTGAAACAACAAGAACCATACATGATAAAAATAGGAGATTTCGGATTAAAGTGTGGATTAACAAAGAATTATAGCTTTATACCCTTAGCTATAGTAGTTGCCTATATTTGGCAGTTCTGTTTAAAGTGAGTCATTGTTCTTCAAATACTTGCCTTTGCTTAGAAAGAAACGGCAAGCAGAGAAAGGAATGCCTAACATCACTGGAAGATAGCAGCATGGTTGGACTAAATGGTGGGGTGTCCAAGCATTCACTGCATGGTTGGATTAAATGCTTGGACACCCCACCCACCCTCCAAGATCACATCCATTCAATATGAAGAATTGTTCATTTACCTTAAAAAAAATTGAATAGCTGCCCATGTGAACTGCCGTGTAATTTCAAAACATCTGCACATTATATTCTTTGTTTTGTGCTGAGAAAATTTAGGAAAGTAGCAATATATCACTGGCAGACTTATATTTTATTCAGGAGATATCCTTGATATCAAATACATGTTAGCAAATCTGTAAATTTTGACTGAATTTATTACATAATAGTTGTGATTAGCTTCATAGTTTAATCAGTAAGGCAAAAACTTAATAACATCATCTGAGTTAGCTTTGCATGTTGCTTACGTGTTATGATTTATTTAATTTAGTTGGTGAATAAGCCACCTAGGTTTACAAAAGCAACCCCACACACACACACGAACACACAAACCATATTATGGCTAAGCTGCATGATGTATAAACCCTGTCTTTGTGTGATCATTGAGATAAATGATTTTCATTTGTCATAGTTTGAAATTCTTGGAATAGTGTACTTTAGAGTATGTGTTACTTACGTTCTCCTATTTCAGAGAATGAAATAGGAGAATGTTGTATGAAAACATTAGGCTCTTTCAGGATGAAAGTGAATGAGTTTGACATACATAAACTTGGGTATGATTGAGAATTATATCTAATTTGATAAATATATCTGATAATGCAAGTCCTAATTCATAGAATCAAATGACACATTATCAGCCTCCATACCTTACTGATTTTATTTTACATGGAAGCTAGCAACAGTGCCACTCTACCTTAATTAAATTAATTAAAATATAACTTTAATTATCTTAATTGTAAATTATCTTAATTTACAAGCTTCTGGGCTACACATTTATTTTTACAACTTTCTCTAGCAAGGTGGTGTATACAGAGTCATCCTTCATTTTAACTTTATAGCCCTGTAAGAACCCTGTGAATTTAGGTGGGCTTGGAGAAAATGACAGGCCCAAAGTCATGAACTGAGTTCCATAGCAGGAACATGAATCTGGGTCTTCCAGGCCTAATCAACACCTTAACATTTGTCTTGAAAAACACAAATAAACATTGGGGACCAACATGAGAGACTGGAGGAGCTGGTGAGGACCAATCTCAGCTGTTTGCCTTCCAGAAAATGCATATTTTATTATTGGCCGCATCCACAACAGCTGTTTTATCAGACCACCTAAAATATGCTCTCAAAATTCAAACTGTTCAGTGTGCAGAGTGTGCAAAAATTCTAATATTTTAAAATTATTTTAATCAAAGGTTTCCCAGTTAGTAGATACTTAGTTCTTGTGTCCATTACTTTCCAGTTTCTTTTTTTTAAGCATATATTCCATTAAATATAGCAATACTGAAAACATCTAGAAAGCTGGTTACTTGCAAATGGAATGGCTGTAAAGTGCAGTCAGGAGTCTTAGTCTACAACAAGGTTTTTGTTTTTTTAGATGGAGTAGATTCACAATCTCAGCTGGGTTTGATTAAATAAATAGTAGATGTGCTGCCAAAGGGAGCATGATTAAACAGTAAGTCATTGGCTGCTTTTAACAAAGACAAGTGAATTAGCCATGACAGATATAAAAGTTATTTTCCTTATATTGTGCTTTTTTCCATATGTACTTTGTTCATTACTATGAATGATTTGGCTTTTAATCAATTCCCTTAACTTTGTGGTCTTTTTTAAAAAACAAACATTGAATCTGTCTTTTGCATTGTAGCAATTAGCTGTAAATTTACAAACTACTTTAGAAATTTCTCTTTCCAGTGCTGAATACAAATGTGTCAACGCTTCAAAAACCATCTTTGTTTTCTGCCTGATAATTCCTGTACCTGTAGATATTGCAAGATAGATTTCTCTTGTAGGTATATCTACCAGAAATATAAGGCCCTTAACATAAAGTTATGCTTTTTAAAAAATACTGGAAGTGTAGAAACAAATTATTGTGAATCATAATATTAGCACCAATGAAGATGGAATACTGGAACTTGTGTGAGTTTTTTAATCCAGGTTTTCCATTTAGGGTTAAAGACATCCTCTTATAGACAGGAGGCCTTATTATACTACTGTGTTTCCCCAAAAATATGACCTACCCCGAAAGTAAGTCCTAGCTTAATTTTTACATGTGCGCCCGATACAAGCCCTACCCTCAAATTAAGCTGTAATTAACTGCCCTACTTACCAGGCCTTGCACACCCCGACACCTGCCTCACCTTGCAGGCCCACTTCTTCTGCGGCCGCTTGCCACAGCTTGCATGTGTCACCCCCTGGCTTCCGTTTCACCATCAGAGCCTTCCAGAAAGTCCTCTGCAGCTGAGAAATGGGCTCCAGATTGACACATGTGGCGCCCCCGGCTTCCATTTTGCCGCCAGATCTTTCCGGAAAGCCCTCTGCAGCCGATAACACAGCACCGTAGCTCTGGTTTTTTTGGCTGCAGAGGGCTTTCTGGAAGACTTTGATGGCGAAACGGAAGGCAGGGGGCACCGCACGCATCAATCCAGAGCCTGTTTCTCAGCTGCAGAGGGCATTCGGGAAGGCTCTGAAGGCAAAATGGAGGCTGGGGACTACGCTTGCGAGCTGCAGCAAGTGGCCACAGAAGGAGTGGGCCAGCAGCGGGCTCCTGCTGGGCGGGGCTGTTGGTGCTGCTGCCACGAAGTGAGTCAATAATTAGACCCCCTGAAAAAAAGCCCTAGCCATTTTTTCGGGGGTCAAAAGAAAATAAGACTGGATCTTATTTTTGGGGAAACACGGTAGGTGGAACTGAGTAATACTACTGGTCAGTTTATTCAAACTGGTTTAGAATACTTCTGGCCCCATACACAATTGTTCCATTTTGCATCGGAACATGTATACTTCACCTTTCTTTTCAAACTGCAAGTGAGTAAGAAATATGTTTGATTTCAGTCCAGGTTTTCTTAGTAAATACATTAAAAACTCATCAATACATATGCTGGCACTTTGGGCTCCAGAGTGTCAACACTGTTGTTATCCTTTCAACAGAAAGATCTTTCACCATAATTGTTGTTCCCTGCCACAATACAATCATTTAAAACTGCTACAATAAAATTCTTCAAAAAATTAAGACCCTAAAAATATAAGCTATAGTGTTCGAAAATAAGTCTTAGGGGGAAAAGAAAAAAATAAGATACATATGAAAAATATTCTTGGCTCTTGTGTTGATTTATTAACATGGGATCCTGCCAAAAAGTATACCTTAAAATAACCATGAAAAAAAATAAATCTTGCCCGACTGTCAGTAAGCCATTCGGCATTGGCCAAGATTAGAGGAAACAAATACTTGTCTGGAATCATTTGATAGTTACTCATAGGAAATGCCAACTTCGGAAATGCTATTTTCTGTGGGGGGAAATGCTTGAAACTTAAAATTCTATATGCATCAAAAGAAAGTAGCCAGTATCTATAGCTGTTCACAAACATTTAGGCATCTTTGATCATATTGTATGTTTCAATAAATTCCTAATGAACAGAGGCTGGAACAACTTCTATATGTACAAAATTTAATCCAAAACCTTTCCATGAACCTGAATATATACTTAATATTTCAGAGATTTGCTGATTCAAAATATGAAAACGGTGAATATGGTATGTGGAAAGATTTGGGCACCCCTTCAGTGAGTCTGTCTTGGCTATGACAGATGAATATGGCTATATCTCTGGAATATTTCACACATTCTATTCTGCATGAAGAAAAATGGGGAATTACTCTTGAGTCTAGTTCCAGAATCCAAGTAGTCATCAGTACAGCTTTAATACACAATAACTTTTATTTATTAATAAAATCATGAAGAAGCCTGGATAGCTCAACAGACTAAGCACTGTAATTTAACACCAGTTGTCTGTAATTAAAGTAAGATCAAATTTCGCCAGGCTCAAGGTTGACTCAGCCTTCCATCCTTTCTAAGGTAGGTAAATTGAGGACCCAGTTTGTGGGGGCAATAAGCTGACTTTGTATAAAAATATACAAAAGTATGAAGACTATTGCTTAACGCATTGTAAGCCGCCCTGAGTCTCCGGAGAAGGGCGGCATATAAATCAATTTTTTTTAAAAAAAAATATGAATATTTTCTGACCGAATCCTTTGTGGCGTTTTTTCCTTTTTTAGGTATATCAGCTTAGTCAGGATACTGAGGCTGTCAACTGATCATTTCAAATACCAAGAGATGGCCTAACCAGGAGCTTAAATGCAAAATTAAAACAACAGGCTGCCAAGGTGGCTCTGTAGCAACCAAATCTTGCTTTATACTTTCTGGAAGGGTGTTCTTCACTTCTTTCATTATCTTCCAGTCTGTGTTATAATGTTCCTCTTGATTTTCACAGCAAGGTAGTGCTGGCTTGTTCGGGCTGCTGTGTGCTTTTTTTTTTTTTTTTTTTGCTGGTTAGACGGGGGCATTTTGCAGTGGTGCTTATGAGCTTCTCTTAGTACAGAGATTTGCATTTGCTCTCTATTCACTAGATCTTTTGCTGCTTTTTCTTTCTTTCTTCCATGACCCTTCTGTCCCTTCACACTTCCTTGCCTCCACTGTCGCAGGTTCGGCATGCCTAGTGGGCTATAAAAAGACACCACCACCAGTCCCACCTCGGACCACCTCAAAGCCATTCATCTCTGTCACAGTGCAGAGCAGCACTGAATCGGCACAGGACAACTACCTGGACAACCAGGACCAAAAGAGTGAAGTCAACAGCCAGTCGGGACTGAGCAATTCCTCAGATAGCTTAGACAGTAATAGGCCACCTAGCGTAACGAGAGGAAACATCACCACTCCAGCCAATGAGCCTCCTGAGTTACCCCAGAAAAATGCATCCTTGAAGAGCGACAAAGGAACGTTGACTAACGAAGAGCCAAAGGTGGAGAACATTCCCAAAAGGAAGCTGTCATCTATAGGAATACAAGTATGGACTTGTTTGTTTTCATTACTACTAGAAGATGATCTTACTGTAACCATTTCTGTAAATGTGCATACCTGTTTAACTGCACTGGGATCGATGCTATTGCATGCTTCTGGAGTGATTTGGCTTTATAAAACGCGGGGGAGGGGGCATTTGAGAAAAAATGCCATTGGATAAATTAAGCAACACAAAGATTCAATTAAAAACATGCAAGCTCTGCTATGTTAAGGAAATTGTTTCATTCTCATATATTCCCTTTAGATCACCATGCCTAGGTGGAATAAATCACCATGCCCATTCTGATGTATAGGAGGCCACAGAAAAAAGACAGCAGGTAGAACTAAGGTCATCCCTTAAGGCATTTCTGAACAGAAGTAATGTCTAATTACTTATGTTTCCTACAATTATCAGTGATAATTAAGATTGAAGTTATTTGTAAAAAATTGTAGAGATTTAGCTTGGGGAAAGACAAAGGTAGATAATTTCTGGTCAAAGTATATTAAGAAAGGCATGTAATTGTCTCAAACACAGAAGCAGGAGATCTACCTCTGAATTGGTATGTTAAATGTAGAATGCAGAGAACTGCTTTATTTGAGTATTGCTGCCATAAAGTTTGGCCATGCTTCTACAGAATAAGATAACAGGGAATAGAACAGAGGTGGGGAAATATGGCCGCTTTATGACTTGTAGACTGCAACTACCAGAATTCTTGAGCCACCATCACTGGCTCAGGGATTCTGGGAGTTGAAGTCCACAAATCATAAAAGGACCATAGTTCCCCACTCCTGCCATAGAAGAATGGAAAAGCAGGAGAGGAAGTAAACATAACATCCTGATGAGGCTTTTAGGAAATCTACTAATCTACTAATTAGATTACATGGAAGCATGGAAAAGCACCATATTTGGAAATAAATGTCCACTTGTGTGCCATGAGATAAAATAATTGATGTTAAATAAACTGAAGAGCAACCAAGTATTTAGCCTTCCTTTTTGAGTCAAGAAATGGTCACAAAAGGAAGTTCATGAATCAAAGATGTATATATGCATGTGATTTCCATTTCAGCTCTCCCAAATTGCTGTAGAGCAGAGGCTGTCAAACTCCTGGGCCATGGGCCGGATGCGTCACACACTAGCCATGCCCACGCCCGGTTTAGCGAAGGGGGAAAATGTGTCATGTGATGCCACCATGACGCCATCAGTTTGACGCCCCTGCTGTAGAGAGAGTGCATGTGTTTTACGAAATCTAATCAGCCTGCTTCTGAAGTAAGGTATTTGAAATAAAACCCAGTTGTTGTCTTTTTCGCATCATGAACATCATCACATGCTTATTCTTGTCAGTCAATAAAATGTCACTTAGTTTGGGCTTTGCCTTTGCAGATATTCTAATACAGGAATTTTGAAAAAGACATTTTATGGAACTGTTGAAACTGTTAAGCATAGCATTCTGCCATGTTTGATACAGCTTTCTATCAAAGAATCATTAGTTATATTTTGTAAGGAATGTAGCCACTTAATACCATGGAAATTTCTAGGCAATCTGATGAACATGGTAAGAATGTTACACTAGAGGTAATCCTTGACTTAAAACCATTCATTTAGGGATCAATCGAAGTTACAACATCACTGGAAAAAAAAGTGACTTATAACCTATCCTCGCACTTATGCTCATCACAGCATCCCTGTAGCTACATGATCAAGGTGCTTGGCAGTCAATGTATTTATAAGAGTTGCCAAGTCCAGAGGTCCAGTAAGCATCATTTGGATCTTCCCAGTCAGCTTCTGACAAGCAAAGTCAATGAGGGAAGTCAGATTTGATAAATAGCCATTAACAACTATAGTGATTTACTTAACAGTGGCAAAAAAGGTCATAAATTGACTCACTTAACAAGTGTCCCAAAGGTGCTTTTTCAGGAGGCAACTGGACTTAACAAGTGACTCACTTAACAAGCTTCAATTTCCATTGCTTAGCAACCAAAATTCTGATCCCAATTGTGGTCATAAGCCAAGGACTACCTGTATCCAGCCATGAAAAAAGGGTTAATTCAGGATTATTAAATTGCTATTTTATAGGAAGTTTTGTGATCACATTTTCCTGATACAGTAGTAGCCCTTTAGAACCGGGGTCCCCAACCCTTGGACTGTGGACCAGTACTGGGCCGCAGCTTGTTCAGAACCGGGCCACGGAAGCGGCAGGCAAGCACACAAGCACAGCTGCGACCACACTCACCCACCGCTCACATGGAACTATCCCCTTTCTCCCACCACCATCACACGCCGATCTGCCGGAAGGTTAGGGAACACTGCTTTAGAAGGATAAGGACACAAACAGAAATCCTGTAATAGTGGACAGAGACAGGTTTCACATGGGAAGCAGCCTGGGGTGTTTGCAGAATTAACTGTCATGAGGCATGACTAGAGGTTGAGATTATAGTTCCACTTTAAAGTGGCAACCTCTTTACAATAAGTGGCTTTTCTGTGGTACAAGAGTTTTCCATTTCTGAAATCTTGATGGGGAAGAAGTTTAACTATTACTTATCCTCTAATGTTTATTTACCCTTGCGTAAAAGAGCGTATTCAGAGAATGACCGTACTCCCTTTGGCATCATGCCATTCTGTTATTCTATGTAATATTTTGGTCTTGGCGCTACATTGTCACAAAGATAGCTCTGAATGATGCATTTGCTTAGTTTTAAGAATGGAATGGGAATGGGAATAGGAATAGGAATAGGAATAGGAATAGGAATAGGAATAGGAATAGGACAGAACAGAACCTTGGAGGTCTTCTAATCCAGCCCCCTGCTAAAGCTGGAGAACCTATACCATTTGAGACAAGTGACTGTCTAGTTTCTTCTTAAAAATCTCCAGTGATGGAGCGTCCACGATTTCTGAAGGCAAGCTGTTCCACTGGTTAATTGTCCTCACTCTTAGGAAGACTCACTGTTGGGAAGATTCAAGACTTTCCATGTTGAATAAAAAGTGATGGCATGTTGGAATTAGTTGCACTGCCCTACGTGCACTGATACACCTTCATCAAAAGACTTTAAGGAGGGCCACAAGCTTTGTTGAGCAAATCTACATAAGCTTTTGGTGCTATTTTGACATTGGCTTTCATTATGCAAATAAAGAACTGATTCAGTTTGGGTTTCTGCCCTCATGCATGTGTAACAGTTAAAAAATATTAAATTATCAGTTATAAATTTGTCTCTAAACGAATTGTTCTAAGGTCTGTTGGACAATCTAAGCAGCATTTAGGTGAAAGTATTTCCTTTTTACATGACTTGATGCATGGTAAAGCTTGATTCTACATTCAGATCATATTAAAATAAATTAAAATAAATTCTGTAGTTATATTAGATATCTATACATATATAGATATCAGTAGTCTGCCTTGGTTGCATTTCTGTTCTCATACCTCTAAAATTTCTTTTAGTTCATTTTATTTAACAGTATATCTGACCTTTTAAAGACAGAAATTTGAATAACAAGCAGCTAATTGTTCAATTAAAAATTAACCTAGTAAACAGAATTTAAAAAATGAATGAAAATTGCCTTTTAAGGTTATCTTTTAGTAGGACAGTGTAACTTTGGCTACTGAGCCATAAGCCTAATTTTCCTTCTTTCCCCATCCTCATTCAGAACTTTTAGCCACTCTGAGCCAATGCTGGGCATTCTGATTGGCTCCATTGCAGATTCTTCCTGATCTTAACAAAAAAAACTTTTGCTGCCTTTTGGTGTGTGGTGTCTGCATGATCACTATCTGTGTGTTTGTGTGCATGCATGCCTCTTCCCTTCTAATGTGAATTCTAGCAGCAAGTTTTTGTGTTTTTGTTTTTTTTGTTTGTATCTTTTTGTTAATAAGGTTGACTGCCTTCAACCAGTGGCAAAAGAGGAGCTCCCTCCATCAGCCACCAAATTCCAGTCCATCGGGGTACAGGTAGAGGACGAGTGGCGGTAAGTGGAAGACACAGGGTTTTTTTTTTTAAAGGAAAAAAAAACCATGCAGTTGCAATCTCTCAATTTGTAGCTTAGTTTCTTTTTTCCTATTCCAAATCACCGCTTGGGTAGTGGTGATCCCCAAACCCTTTCTCAACAGCAAGTGCTCTCCCCAAAACAAAGAGGCTTAGTCATGTAAGAGAATCATTGGGAGTCTGAACTGAACAATAGAACGGGAGATGTAATTACAGATGCGTGCCAGTTTTTGTTTGGATGCCCTACTGCAGTAAGCAGGCAACCTTATAATTTCGTCTGTCTGCATGTATAGTGTGTGTATTTGTGTGCAGGGAAAGATGGGCAAGGAAATGCAGTTCAGCTGCAGATGCATAAACAAATACATATGGTTGTCTCTGCGTGCTGGGGAATAGAACCAGCCCTCTGTAAGGGCCGCTTTTCCTGACTGTCTCTTGCCCCTCTTTCATTTTATAGCAACAGCCACTCTCACAGCATGTCCAACAAACAGGATACAGATTCTGACTCTCAAGAGCTGAATAATTCTACCTGTAAATCAACTGAAAGAAACCTTGCTGATTGTTCCCCCTGCAACAACTCCAATAACCTTGATGCTAACACGAGGCAAGCAGCCATGCCCTCTGAGAGCAAGAAAACCCTCTCCTATGGAGATAGCAATGACCCAGCCCTGGAACCTTCCTCTCTCCCTCCTCCTGATCCTTGGCTTGAAACATCCACCAACACTCCATCAGAACCAACACAGCCGGGAGCTTGCCGAAGGGATGGGTACTGGTTTCAGAAGCTACTGCAGGCAGAGACGGAAAGGTTGGAAGGGTGGTGTCGACAGATGGACCAAGAGACTAAAGAGAATAATCTCTCTGAAGAAGGTGAGCAAGGATGATAACCTGGCTTTAGTGAGATTTGAAGCTTAAAGTAAGCAAAATCTTTCCATGCCTCGAGCGCAGAGCTAGGCCCAAAAGCAAGTTATTGGAAGGAGGGCTATTACTTTACGCTAGGGATTGTGCAGGTAAACAGCAGAACTCTGTATATCTTAATTCCTCCTTTTTTCAGGTTTCAGTTGTGATTAACCATAGTCAATGAAGAAAATAGTTGTTCCAATTGATATGGTGTGCCACTTCTTTGCTTTCACTGATACCTTGGAGAGAAATGTTGCATCTTTCTTTCATTTAGAAAGATACCATGGTGCCAACAGTACTCTATAATTCTGAAGAAAGTTAAATGTACAGGACGGGGAGTTTTCAATAGGAATCTTTTTTTCTGAGATTTTTCAGTGTGGTTAGGAAGAGAGTAGGCCAGGAAGTTCTAAATCTCCTTGTGGCAACAAACCAGTTTCTAAAATATTCATTTGTTATGGAATATAGGCCGTTGGGCTCTATCCACTCATCAGAGTGTTTACAAACCTATGACGATTAGAAGTCCTGGATCACAAACCTATGCTTAGAAAGTTGCATTCTTGAATGTTTACTTTCTGGCCACAAATACTGTGAAAAGGGTTGACTGTGGGGGAAATAGCCTTGGGAGATCAACTTTTTCTGCCTCCCCTGAAGACTTCACTGGCTCTATCAGAAACAAAGCGTCATTCAGCAGTGTGGCTGCCTGCCATTTCTGTACAGGCAATTGATGTTGGCAGTAGAAAGAAAGGCAGTAGAAAGAGCTAACCAAATATGCACTGACAAAAAAAAATCCCAGAAGTCATTTGTAATGGCTTGCCTTTAATGGCTCGGAGTGAAATAGTTATGTTCTTGGACGGAATGGGACTTTTCAGCTCGAACCCTTGATACTGCCTGTTTCTCCACCAGGGTTTCGCCTCCGCATTATTATGCCTCAGCACTTTGGGCCAATGCCCCTCCGTCCCAGTCCCTTCGCCGTGGCCCATTCACTGCAGTACAGTTCGCGTCGTACTTTTGGGCGCATAGAATAATTCGAAGCCAATCGGTGCAGGGGCTTGGGGGCTTTGGGAGTAGAGCAGGGGCTGCAGTTCAGAGGGAGGCTCTGAACTGCAGCGTGGGAGAGGGATCCAGCCACAAAAGACGGGGGGAGAGGGGGGCTGTAGAGGTTCCCAGGGCCTCTTCCTGTGGCTGGCTACGAACTGTCCTGTGCGCCCAAAAGCCCAACGCGAACTGTACTGGGGTGAATGGGCCACAGCGAATGGACTGGGACGGAGGGGCCGTGGCCCAAAGTGCCGAGGCGTAATAACGCGGAGGCAAAACCCTGGTGGAGAAACAGGCAGCGCCAAGGGTTCGAGCCAAAAAGTCCTAGACCCGTTCTTGGAAGAGTGGGTGGGGAAGAGATAAATATGCCTAAAGGTCAAAAGTGAGTCTTTTTACCTTAAATCTCCTGGTATTTTCTGTTTTTTGAATTATTCATCTTGCTTGACTGCTTTTCTTTCTTTCTATCTATCTATCATATTCAGTCTTAGGCAAAGTCCTCAGTGCAGTGGGCAGTGCACAACTACTAATGTCACAGAAATTCCAGCAATTCCGTGGCCTCTGTGACCAAAACTTGGTGAGTGTGCGAATCTCTGCTATTTGTATCAAACTCGCTCCTCCAGCATGGCATATAGTCTTATAGCCACCCATCTCCACTCTGGGTGGCTATTTAATTGGATTCAGAGAGAGTGCGGGTAATATTGGTCCACCCCTGGCAATGAATGGAGGCAGAAGGGGGTTCCAGAAGGAACTGGGATTGTTTGTGATGGTCTGTTTCATGGTCCAACTGAGACTTTAGTTACCACTTGGTACAAGAAGGTGGCTGTGAAGTTGAATCCAGTGTATGTCCATGTGACCTTTCCCATGGATCCTGCTACTTTCCATGATTTATGGAACAGTTAAGGAAGGTGAAATGGGAAAAGTGATGTCTAAAGCAGGGGTCTCCAAACTTGGCAACTTTAAGCCTGGTGGACCCCAACTCCCAGAATTCCCCAGCCAGCTTTGCTGGGAGTTGAAGTCCGCCAGGCTTAAAGTTGTCAAGGTTGGAGACCCCTGGTCTAAAGCACCACTGGAGGTCAACAAAGACTGAATTCATCTGAACAGGGGACTTACCTTGTGGCAGACAATATGTCTCTGCTCTTATTGCATCTGTGGATTGTTGCCCAGTGGCCTTGTTCTGGGTGACTTGCACTCTTCTGGGTGGAGAGAACTCAAGAGAATCATCTACAAGAGTGTGCAGAGAAATTTTCAGAGCATCTGTCAGATAAAGTTACTTGAATTCATTCCCAGTTAGCTTTGGTGCAGGTCCTATGGATATGCCTGGGGCAAAAGCCTGCCCTGTTATAGGGAATGGTATAATGGGCTGAGCATGAAGAAGTGGACAGGATCCTTATGACCGTGAGCTCAGCTACTAGCTCATTAGATTCATGCCTCTTCTTATTGGCTAAGACTGCCTGACAGGTGAACATGTGGATTGGTTCTTATGGTGGTGAATTTTTCATTCTAATTAGATGAATGTACCAAGGAAGCGTTGGTTCATCTCAAGAACCTCCCTATTTCAGGGAAGGTTGTTAAAGCAGCAGCTTTAACAAAATTTGGATGAAGCAAATTATCTGGACCCCTTTCAGTCTGTACTCAACATGGGACAGAAATGGCATTGCTTGCATGTTTGAATATTCTATGGCATGAGCAGGATAGGAGGCAAGACCGAGTGGCTTTGGGTCTTAGGGCCTTCTGGATCTGGGACTTTACTATCTTTGGTGCAGATAGGATGGCACTGCATCCAGTGCAAAATCTGGGGGTCCTTCTGGATTTATGATTATTACTTGAGGAGCAGGTGGCAGTTGTGGCTAAGAGGGCTTTTGTGCAACTGGATCATGAGGCTCTGCTCACAGTTACTCATGTCCTGGTCACCTCACAAATGGACTACTGTGATGTGCTCCACATGGGGCTCCCCTTGAAGAGTATCCAGAAGCTTCAGTAGATGCAAAATGTCACAGTGCAGGCAGTTACTATGCCCCTCACACTTCTGCTCTGTGAGCTGCATGGATTACCAGTTTGCCTCTGGGTGCAATTCAAGATGCTGGTTTTGATGTTTCAAGCCATATTTAACATGAGGCTAGGCTAGTTGATGGTCCACCTCTCCCCAATTGCATCCACCCATCGTATCGGAGGCTGCTACATTTTGCATCCACTAACATCTCTGGGTATTCTTCCAGGGGAGCCCCATGTGGAACACATTGCAGTAGTCCATTTGTAAGTCCCATCTGCTAAGGATTCCATCTGATGGAATCTAAGAGGAGAGCCTTTTCCACTGTGACACCCAACCTGTGGAACATCATCCCCCCACCATCAGATGAGAACAATTTTTAAATATATAGTTATTATTGATTGGTGATTATTGATCTATAGGACGTTTATCTTCATGCCAGTGCCAGATGCCAAATGACAAATTTAAGATTGCCTTTGATTCTCCTGAAGACTTGGGGGTAAAAAATTGAAGACAAGTATTGTATTAGTTTCTTTGCCACACCTGGTGCTCTCAATAATTATCCTTGATGGCAAAGAATAGGCCTCAATTCTTGTTCAGAATAGGCTACAATGCAATTGCATATTGCTCTTGAGAAATTTCTTTGCTTGGCGAATGCAGGATCAATCAACCAAAATAGTATTGACAATAACAGCAGCCTACTCTGTTATGTAGTAAAACATTGATATAAAAGAAATAAAGTTCATGTCACCAAATTGCACGTGCTACTTGCATTCAAATCATGCATAAAATGGACCTGAACTTAGATCTGTTCATTTCTGTTAGAAGAACTTTAAAACTATCTGCAATTCAAATCAAGTTCAATTCATTTTTTTCTAATTCTAAATGAACTGCAACGTTTTGGGAGAACTTCATCTGCCTTATTTGTTCACTGCAGAACCCCAATTCCAATCCTAGGCCCACAGCACAGGACCTTGCTGGGTTTTGGGATCTCTTACAGTTGTCCATTGAAGACATCAGCATGAAATTTGATGAGCTGTACCACCTGAAAGCTAATGGTTGGCAGGTGACGGAGCCATTGGAGAAGAAGGTAAGCATCAAGAATACCGGAGTCAAACTCCTACAGTGTACATTATGTCATTTTTATGGGTTTATATAGAATGTCTCTTGTCCATGTTGAACATCTTAGTGCTTCATCCTAAATGCAAATTAGGAAATTAGGATTAGTTGTCTGGTGAAATTTATTGAAGTATGCACGCTTGATTATGTTCTTCACAGGGGTGAAATGCTCCCGGTTCGGACCGGATCACCTGATCCGGTAGCGATGATGGCGGGTGGTTCAGAGAACCGGTAGCAAAAATCCCTGCCCACCCCCCTCACCCCCATGCCCAACTGAGCTGTGCGATCATCAGAAGCTTTTTTTTTTACTTTTAAAAGCATTTTTTCTTCGGCCAAAAAGTGTGAAGGCCGAAGGGGTTGTAGAAAAAATGCTTTTAAAAGGATCCCAGCTGAGTTGCCTGATCGTCAGAGCCTTTTAAAAGCATTTTTTACAACCTCTTCAGCCAAAGAGGTTGTAGAAAAAATACTTTTAAAAGTAAAAAAAAAAAAAGTTGGCCATGCCCACCCAGTCACATTACCCCCCCCCCCAAGCCACAGCCACAGAACCAGTAGTAACAAATTTTACATTTCACCACTGGTTCTTCGTGTAATTAATTTTAATTTAAAAGATTACAGGTTGTCCTCAATTTACAACCATTCATTTTATTGACTAGTTGAAATTACAACAGCACTGAAAAAAGTGACTGTTTTTCAGACTTAAAACCATGCAGCATCTCCATGGGCCCCTGATCAAAATTCAGACATTTGGCAACTGCATCTGCTTGGGACAGTTGCAGTGAGGTCATGTGATCACTTTTGTGATCTTTTCACAAACAAAAGTTAATAGGGAAGGCAGATTCACTTAACCACCATGTTACTTAACAACTGCATTGTTTCACTTAACAACAGTGGCAAGAAAGGTTTGAAACTGAGCAAAATGGAAATATGGGACTCAGTTGTGGTCATATTTCAAGGACTACCTGTACTGCCATGCTTCCAGATATCCTGTACAAATCTGTATATAATATGATATTTTACATAAATAATAAATAAATAAATAATAAATAAATACAACTTGTTAAAATTATTGTATATTTAAAAGGGTAAAGGTAAAGGTTTCCCTCGCACATATGTGCTAGTCATTCCCGACTCTAGGGGGTGGTGCTCATCTCCGTTTCAAAGCCGAAGAGCCAGCGCTGTCCGAAGACGTCTCCGTGGTCATGTGGCCGGCATGACTAAACGCCAAAGACGCACAGAACGCTGTTACCTTCCCACCAAAGGTGGTCCCTATTTTTCTACTTGCATTTTTTACATGCTTTCAAACTGCTAGGTTGGCAGAAGCTGGGACAAGTAACGGGAGCTCACCCCGTTACGTGGGACTAAGGATTCGAACCGCTGAACTGCCGATCAACAAGCTCAGTGTCTTAGCCACTGAGCCACCGTGTTCCTAAGGTCTCAGTCAGACCATGAAACAGACCATCACAAACAAATTTAAAAGGTTATAGGAGTAAAAAAACCCAGTTGTTCCTGAGAAAATAGAATATGGGGCAAACATCTCTATAATGGCACTTCCATAAATAGGGCACCACTTCCTTTGCTTTACATTGGATAGAGAAAGAGTCTTTCCAAAGATGACCTCAGAACCCCGACAGCAGGGGTGAAATTCAGCCGGTTATATCCGGCTCAGGCAAACTGGTAGCAGCAGCTGCAGGAGGCTCTGCCCACCTGTGCGGATGTCATAATGTCCCCTTTTTGTGATGATTTTCAGCCTCTGCGCATGTGCAGAAGGCTTTGCGCATGCTCATTTGCGAACCGGTAGTGAAGGTAAGTGAATTTCACCCCTGCCGGACAGGTTGATTCAGTAGCAAAAATAGGCATTTGATTTTAAGCAGTGTAGAACTTAATGGAAATCTATACACCTTCAAATCAAACTTGACTGCAGTTGACCATGGATATATCCATGGGGTTTTTGGCAACAGTGCAAAAGTATGATCAACTCTCAACTCAGCCTAGTAGTATTTAGTATTTCCTGGAGATCTCCTACCTAAATACTAATTATATCTGATCCTATTTAGGTTTTCATACCAACACAGTTCAAATTGTGCATTGTCTGGAAAGCTTGTGAAGTTCTTTCAATAGCCAGCAATAATTGTTCAAAATAACTTACTGCACCATTGTCTTTTAACATGTTTGTTGTTGTCTACAAAAGCAGCCACACATGTTAACTTCAAGTTTAGGAATCCTTCCCCCACGTTATTTTGAAATATACTTTTCCCAAGTATAACCTGCCTGTTATATTTGAAATTGACAAGTTTTCTATACAGCTCTTTAAAGAAATTGATAACTTTATTTACAGTTATTTTGATTATTCACAATGTTTAACATGAAATGTGAAGTACTTCAATTATTCCTTTAACATTACCTTATTAATGTATCCGAAAAGGTGTAAAGAGTTCTGATAGTTTGCAAAACTTGGAGCGACTGTGGTTTAATTACTCTGCTCGTATTCATGTTGCATATTGTAAATAGTTTCCTGAGTGTACATCTCTTCCATCTGATTTAATTCAAATTGTCAAATCAAATTGGTAGTTTGTTTAGGAAAATTGATTCAATTTGATATATGAACACAGGGTCACAATCACTACCTTGATATTTTTTTCACTCCCACTGTGGATACTCCTGATTGCAATTTTAAATCTAGCAAAGAGCAAAGAAAGTTAAAGGTACAGATGTGCAAAGCTCTCCATTTTGGGGACAGAATATTCCAGAGAAGTTTTGAACATTCTATTCCCATCCAGGCTGCCCAGAACCCTTCTGTTAGGGATCTGGTGATTTTCACAAATAACCTTTCTGATTTAGAAGCAACTCAAGGTGTCCTGGGAATGGTTCAGTCCAAAATAAAGTTTTCTTCTGTCCAGAAGCCATGCCCCCAAACCATGGCATTTTGCAATGCTTTTGATATGGAGGAGTTACTTCTAAAAACTGTTGATTCTTTGTTCCTAAGTCTATATATCTGTAGTGAAAGATAATGCAGCATTTGAACAATCCATGCTTCCTTGTCAAGGTTAGGGTTAGGGGAAGATTCTCTTTGAATCTTATTTTGGTCCTGTCCATTATTGTGTCTCTATGTTACTGGATTAAATTTAACTCTGATGCTTGTAAATGATGTTATATACCAGCAGTGTCAAACTCGCGGCCCGCAGGCCAGGTGCGTCATGTGCTGGCTCCACCCCCGCCCAGTTTAGCAAAGGGGGGAAAAGTCCCAATATGTCATGTGATGCCGCCGTGACGACCTGAATTTGATACCCCCGTTATATACTGATTCTGTCATTTTGAATAATGTAACTCGAGTTTTAAGGTAGTTATTTTATTTCAAATTTGGTTCAATATAGCCTGAATTTTATTGCCTTAAATTAATTTAATAGTGATGGTGTTTTGACAAATTTGTTCTATTTTTGCCTTAAAAAAATATTTCTCACCTTATAATCATTGAAAGCAATTTTAGATTAAAATCTAGTCACGCAAAGTGGATTTAAATTATGGGGGAAGTAAAACTTAGCTTTTTTAAGTAATAGTTTGCATTCCTTAGTTTACATTTGGTATATGAAAACTCACCAAAGGTAAGGGAAAAGAAATACAGGCAATCTTCTACTTAAACCATTTGTTTAGCAATCATTTAAAGTTACAACGATACTGTGAAAAACGACTTCTGACCAGTCCTCATGCTTAAGACCATCGTAGCTTCCCCAGGGTCATGTGATCAAAATTTGGTACTTAGCAACTGAAATGTATTTATAACAGTTGCAGTATTGGGAGAGGGGGTGTCATGTGATCACTATTTGTAGCCTTCCCAGCTGGCTTCTTCTGACAAGCAAAGTCAATGGGAAAAGCCAGATTTGCTTAATGACCATGTGATTTTCTTAACAACTGCAGTGGTTCACTTAACAACTGTAACCAAAAAAAAATCATAAATCAGGTGCAAATTTACTTAACAACCACCTTGCTTAGCAATTGCTAAGCAGTGCAAATTGCTTAGCAGTGGAAATTCTGTTCCCAATTGTGGTCATAAGTCGAGAGCTACCTCTAAAATAAAGGAGTCAGGAATGGAATTTTTGATACAGTACATAGATGTACTACCGTATTTCTCCGAAAATAAGACCCTGTCTTATATTTTTTTGAACCCTGAAATAAGCGCTTTTTGCCATGAGTTCAAAAGCCTGATTGGGCTTATTATCAGGGGATGTCTTATTTTGGGGGAAACGGTAGCAACTGCATTTAATTTTAAAAAATCCACTTCTGCCTGTGCTGTGTAATATTAGAGTTACAGATTCTGGTTTTCTACATTTTTGCTATTATTCTCCCTAAAGGAAGAAAAGAAACCACCCCCTCCTGTTCCAAAGAAGCCAGCTAAACCGAAATCTCAGCTAAACCGGGATAAGGCATCTGACTCGGTGGACAAGCAGCGCCAGGAAGCTCGCAAACGCCTCATGGCAGCCAAGCGTGCTGCCTCCGTTCGACAAAACTCTGCCACTGAGAGTGCGGACAGCATTGAAATCTACGTTCCTGAGGCACAGACCCGTCTTTGAGCAAAGGGAAGAGGAAGAAAACACTTTTTTTTTTCACACCACTAAAAGAGGAAAAGGAAAAAAAAAATGGGTTCACTAAAACAGTAGTGTGATTTCTTTGATCTAGAGACACCAGAGCCAACCCTGCCAAGGGCTCCCAATTAGACCTCTCCTGGTTCTGTGCTTTGGTTTTTCTCCTTCCCATCTTTCACGCTGGCTGTGGTGTGGCTGAACAAACTTTTGGAAACACAGTCCTTTACACTTGGAACTGCAACCTTTTTACTTGTCAATCTGAGGAGAATTATTAGCTTGTTTACATGAAATGGACTAAATTGAAACAAACAAACTCCCCCCCCCCCCGCCTTCAGCACTTGCCATGCTGTGCTTCCCCCCACCCCAAATCCTTTGGCTATTTGTTCTGTCTTCTACCCCCAGAGAATCTCTTTCTCTCCACCCTCACTGTTTTTCTTGTATTTTATAGCTGTTCTCCTCTTTGCCATCCTTTTCTCTGCATGGCATCATTTACTGTATTAGAAGTAAACTCTTCTACAGTGCTGCAGAAGAAAACACCGTTCAGCGTGTACTCTTGCACTCTGCTAGTCAGCAGTCTTCAGTTTTCTTACCTATTATTTCCTTTATAGATGGGATGGGAGTGGGTGACCAGGGCTGGGTTGGGTTGGGGGAGGCAGTAAGGCTTTAGGGTTAATATATCTTGTAGTCCAATGATGTAAACAGAGGGCACATTCTGTGAAATATAACAGTGTGTTTTGTTGTAATAGCCTGGAAGCAAAAAAAAAAAAAATAGTGCAATAAGAGAAGTGTTTTGTCTGCACACTCCCATGAATAGTGCTGCAAAAGGAGGATTTCCCATCCAGGGCACCTGAAAGAAACACAGCAAGGTGGATTCACATGTTGCCGCACACACTTTTCTTTTTTTTCCTGCACTCTCTTCCCTTTTGCAATTTTTTGTATGTGATTTTGTGTGCAAGGATCAATGTATAAGAAACCAGCTGCTATACAAAGGGTAGGGGAAAACTGTTTCAAAGTTGTACTTAATACGTTCTATGGTGAAAGACAATGGTTTTTGTACTGAAAAAAAAAAATGAGGTAGATATTGGATGGTTGGCAAGTTGCCTGCCTGTATGTATGTGTACATATGCACATAATACACTTAGTAGGCTATGTAAATTTAATACATACCAATGCATACATAGCTAATCACACATGTACACATTCAGATGGTGTCTTTAAAAAAGCACCTCCAAGAGGATGGGTGTATGTATAGCATATATTTTTACATGTACTATAGCTAGATGTGTGTAAAAGTGTGTGCAAAAATATATACCCTGCATATTCTCTCAGCTATTCTGGCCCCTTCTGTCTCATATTTTTGGAGGAACTATCATGAAATTTCATTTGACTTTCCTCTTTCCCTCTGCACACCTATTTTGAACTAATCAATGAAGCCAGGAATCAAACAGCCAAATCTAAGTTTCTCCTCTGCCCTCCACACCACCCTGTTTTCCACTTCTACACTTCTCAGAAAGCTGTGCACTGTATTTGGGGAGACTTGAGAAAAGGTATTCGATGAATAGCCTGAGGTGACCAGAACCCAAAAGAATTTTTTTACTGGTACATTAATGAAAATCATGTCAGTGAATGCTGTATATGGTGTCTATGCATAGGGAGTGTTAGATTCTTACCTGCCCACTTAATGTATAATTTTGTAATCTGTGAAAGCTTGACCATATAGAGTATGGCTTCAAAAGAGACTTGATTTATTCGATTTTCCTCTCCCTCTCCAATAACTTTACTTTGATGCTGGAGGGTGCTTGATCAACTTTTGAAACTAGTGGCTGACTTTCACAGTTCTTCCTATTAAAATTTGAAACGCTTGGAATGTGACTTTTTTTACTTGCATTTCCAAAAGCAGCAATGTCAGTAATTAGGGCAGGTGTTTGATGGATTCCGTTTCATGGTATATGTTTCCGCGTGCAGTTTGTCAGTGGGATTAAATCTTAAATGTATGTAATTCAGCAAAACAGGTCTCCCAGTTTTAGAGAAGTGTTTGCTTCCACAATTACACAATTACCTTGAAAAAAGATAGACATGCTTTTCTCTGGTATATGTACTTACATGCTATATACACAGAATATATTTGTCCATTTTACATCTTAGGCATATTTATAAAGGGGCATTTTTAGCTGATGTGCACCCCTGTGTGAATTGGCATCGTTAGTTTGTTGCAATAAAAATAGTAAAGATCAAGGGTTCTGAAACAGTCCTGAAAAACACTTGGGGTCCTGAACACAAGGACTTGTCTTCAGCATGCCTCCAGCATTGCTAACCACACTTGGGAGGTAATTATGGGCTTTGATGGAAAAAAGATCAAAGCAAGAGCAGTCAGCTGGTTTTCAAAACAAGAAAGTCAGCAGCTTTGCTTCAAACTCACAGCACTGATCTTTCTCCCCCAATGTTTTCTTTTAAAGGCCTACTTGATAGTAACTACTTTTGGATCCTCAAAAGAGCACTGAAAATAGTTTCCATAGGTGGCACTTGCATGAAATGACACATTTGCTGAAGTATACATACTTCAGGAATTGAAATATTGTGGTCACCTTTGCTTCTGTATCCTCCAATTGTACCATAGGATTCTTCACAAAACTTAACTTATTCTATCTACAAACCCATACTAGCGATAAAGTAGCCTCTCTCTGATCCAAATCTTGCGTCTGGGGATGACATAGCTTCTTTTCAAAACATATGTAAAGCAGTGTTTCTTAACCCTGACAATTTTAACATGGATTTTAACTCCCAGAATACTCTACCCAAAATTCTGGAGTTGAACTCCACACATCTTGGAGTTCCTAAGAGTGAGAAAGACATTTTATTTGTGCCTTTCTGGGCCCTGAATGTTTTGGGATGACTTAAATGGAATTGGAAAACTGCATTCATATAATGGAAATACATCCAATATCTACTCTTGATAGCATTCACTGGATCTTGTTCTGATCCCTTAAAATCTAATAATGTAATTCAGCCTATAAACAGACTGAATTTATAAAATGGGCCAAATCTGACTTCTCTTATGTGATTCAAGGAAATACCCAATAGATTTAAACCTAGTGGTAGAGCTACAAATGCTTAGGTGAATTAATTTCTTAATAGCAATAATTCTGTGAAACGAGCAGGATGCCTTATGCTTGTTTCCCTGCTTCTTACATTTCAGTTTTGCTATCCAGCTTCGTTTGTTTTCAACAGAGAATGTAAACAGAGCGGGGGTTTAAATTGCTCTGAAAAATCCATTTGGTGGAACTGTGCTCCATATATGCTTGCCTAGTTGTATTTACCCAATTGTGTGATTTGAAAAGCAATGTACCTACTACTTTGATGACCTGTTTCCTCCCAGCCATGAATAATGGTAATATGTCCCCCTAAGTGATATTTCTTAGTTTTATGGCAGGAAAAAAAAAAAGAAGGGACAGGATTGCTTAGGACTGTGATTGATATTGATGATGGGCTTGGATGGTTTTTTTAGGAAAAAAGAAATTAAAGCCTTGTATCAGACCCATGGCCCAAGAGTTTGTAATGTGAGTTTTGCTGCCATTATAAAAAAAAAAAATAGTAAAACAAAAGGATCTATTTGATGCTCTTATGCCTGTCTTCTTGTAATCTCTGATCCACTTTCTAGAGCTAACAAACGGATGTAAAAGGAAAAATGGGTGAGATTAGGGAAAGTGTATTTGAAAACACCCAAGACATTTAATTTAGACTATTTTTGTCATTTCTTAGTGACCAAATTCATCTTTAATAAATGAGCAAAAGCATTGCAAGAGTATTTTTCCAAATCCATGTTTGTTTATTGCCTGATGGTCTAGCAATAGTGGTTTTCCCCAACTTTTAACATTCAGCCACAAAATTAGATAATTTCCCAATCCAAAAAATCAAATTCTGTTTATATTCCTTTATATTCCTTTGAGATCATTTAGCAGCTGAATGTTAACAAATAAGTCATTTGGTTAATAGATCTATATCTTGACCATTTGATCTCTGCTGTTAACTTTCCTGAATAAATATTCAAAGTATGGATTGATACTAAATAGTGTTCTTACAAGAATTAGTACTGAAACAGTACTAAGCAATTAAATGGAAGAATTGTATTTTCTCTCAGCCCTTAATATAAAATTGTATGGTACCGATGATCCAGCACAGTGCTGAGTGACTTATTCCATCTCTTTCTATTTTCATGCTTCTTCTGAACTAGAATAGCAAATATCTTAGATCTGGGGATATATGAGCAACATTCTCTTATCAGGTTAAACTTGAATTACTAGCTCTCTTCTTTATTCTTTTTTCATTGAGCTAATTTAGGCAATTGTCTTTTCTTGCTCACCAAATTTTGCATGATATTGTACAAATGAAATGTGCTCTTTATATATTGGCTTTTTAAATTACAGTGAAAGATTTTAAAATTATAGTGTTGCACACTGGTACAAAGGATAAAAAATATATAAATTAAATTAGGGAAGAAAAGCCCCCCCCCAAATCTTACTGAAATACAACTCCCATCCCATGTAGAATTCAACATCTAACTTTCTACTTATGCTGTATCTACACTACTAACAGTAGTGTCCTTTATTGATGTTCTTTCCAAAAGAAGCAAAAAATTATGTACACAATGGAAATTACTTATTGTCCTATTGATTACTAGACCTGTCTATTTCCACATTTAGATTTCTGTTTTAAGCTGTATAAAATAATTATAGTCTACTATGCAAGAATAGTCCCATGGCCAACTCTTAATTCCATAATTAGTGAGAAGTTGCATGAGAGGTTAATACTCTCATAGGCCCCGGAGTCTCCAAAAAATGCACAAGAATGGGGGTGTCCTTTCACATTTTTGGGAGGCTCCGGAGGCTGTGGAAGAGCATTCAAAGCTGCTTCATGATCTATGACCTCGTGTGTCCTGAAGCAGCCTTAAAACTGCTGCAAGGGTCTGTAAACAAACCACCTGAAAGTAAGCGGTGCACAACAGATTCATTTACCAAGGCTTGCATGCAAGGCAGCCTTTTTGAGTAGCAGCTGTGGTGCTAGTTGCAGTGATGCTAAGCAGCAGAAGTTGAGCCCTATACCTCAAGTCCAGCCTCAGCACTGCCACCGAATGCTGCTGTTCAGGATGGCCTAGACCTGTGATGGCAAACCTATGGAACACGTGCCACAGGTGGCACACGGAGCCATATCTGTGGGCACATGAGCGTTGCCCTAGCTCGGCTCCAGTGCTCGTGTGTGCACCAGACAACTGATTTTTGGGCCTTCCAGGCCCACTGTAACTCAGGAAATGTGCCGTTTCTGGAATCCGGGGGAGGTGGGAAAGGCTGTTTTCACCCTCCCCAGGCTCCAAGAAAGGCTCTGGAGCCTGGGGAAGGCACAAAATGAACCTACCAGGCCCACCGGTAACCTTTTTGCCATTGTGTGCCAAAAGCAGGGGGAGTACAGGGGGCATTGAATTATAAGTGTGGGCATGCACCCCACACACCCCCGGCGTAACTCCCACTTTTGGCATGCAACAGCAAAAAGGTTAGCCATCACTTGCCTAGACTGATGGGAAGGCAGATGAATTGTTTTGTTTGGGAAGGGAAATAATAAGCCATAGTCAAGTGTTTTAATTTTTGACATCCTGAGCCCAAAAGGCTTGCCATTACTGCAGCAGGCCAAACTGAATCTTCATAGGGACAGACAAATGTCAAATATTTTGTTGTCCAACTGCAGTTTTCTTCTTTTGGACAGTTTTTTGTGGAAGTACGGGATTAATTTTGACTTTTTAGGGCTTCTGAAATTAATAAGGAATGAGCTTATTTTAAAAAAAAACTCTAGTGTGGTAAAATGATAAGCGTGAACATGCACTGATTGCAAACAAGAGTGGCCAGTGTGAAGTTACAATCATTGTGAGGTTGTAATTGAAGTGCTGGCCTGGCATTGGAGAATTCAGCCTCAGACACAGAAATTCACTGGATGCCTTTGGGCCAGTCACACTCAGCCTAAGTTAACTCATAGTAGTTGTTATGGGAAAAAAGGAAGTACTATGTTAGTCTTGAAGGAAAATAAGGGCTATAAGTCAATAGAAATAGCACTTTGACTTCAATATCCTCCACAGTGCTTTACAGCACTCTATAAATGGTTTACAAATATCAACATATTGTTCCAACAATCTGGGGCCTCACTTCACTGATTTCATAAGGATAGAAATCTGAGTCAACTGAGTCTGTCAGGATCGAACTCCTGGCAGTGGGCAGAGTCAGCCTGCAATACTGCATTCTAATCACTGCGCCATCACGGCTCTTAAAACAAGGTGGATTGAATTGTAAAACAAAGATGTGAACAGTAAAAAAGGTAAGGGGGTAACTAAGAAAGTTATGGTTGGATCGAGTAGAGGAGAAATACAAAAAATTGTGAAGAGGTGTATAGGTATGGTTCTGGAACAATAGGTTTTCAGAATAGAAAGGTATTGAGTAGCACAAATGGTTTTGGTACAAACTAGATTTAAGATTCTTTTTTTTTTTCTCTTCTCTGTCCTGTCTCATTTATTTTTGCTTTTCTTTTGCATGTTTACTCTGAAAACAAATGGCATGAAAGTTGACTGTAAGCATGTTGTGGGTGGCTAAAAGACAGGCTGAAGGACAGTGAATATTTAATTAAATCCTTCCATTTAAAAACAGAGTCAGTGGTGAAATCCAATTTTTTTTAACTACCGGTTCTGTGGGCGTGGCTTGGTGGGCATGATGTGGCTTAGCGTGCGTGGCAGGGGAAGGATACTGCAAAATCTCCATTCCCATCCCACTACAGGGGAAGGATACCTCAAAACCCCCATTCCCTCCCCACTCCTGGGGGAAGGATATTGCAAAATCTCCATTCCCACCCCACTCTGGGGCCAGTCAGAGGTGGTATTTGCTGGTTCTCCAAACTCGTCAAAATTTCCGCTACCGGTTCTCCAGAACCTGTCAAAACCTGCTGGATTTCACCCCTGCATTCAGTCCTAGTCTGCAAGAAAGTTTGGGTCATTTGCCCGGCTCTCTCTGCCCCTCCCACTCTCCTAAAGTTACTTTAACAAATTTTTCAGGTATAATTAAAATGTCACCAGGACAAGGCTCAAATAACATCCAGCAGGCTGGATCCAACATTTGGCAGGATTGGCAAAGCTGAACAAAAACCTGGATTGTTCATTTTAACACTTTAGTAAGGCTTCTTTCTACAGATGCCTCATTTGAATCAATCCTTGCAAATGGATTTCTTTCCAAAATGAGTCAGGCTGCGTTTGTCAGCCTGAGTCAGACCCACAGCTCATTAGCCAGCCTCATTATGATCAGAAATAGGTTGTGATGTAGGCTTTTTTTTTTAGGTATCAGCGAGAGGGTGGTGGTGCCTGGTTTAGAGCTCTTTCACAATAATTTCTGCATATTTTCACCATACCATTTCCCCAAAAATAAGAGCCTGTTATATTTTTTTGAACCCTGAAATAAGCGCTTGGCCTTATTGCCATGCACTCAAAAGCCCAATTGGGCTTATTATCAGGGGATGTCTTATTTTGGGGGAAACAGGGTATATCATCAAATCAATCAGAGGTGGAAAACCAAAGCAAGTATAGCAATTATCTTGGAGCGGTCCTAACTGATGTAACAGATAGAAACAGGCACTGATCTAGAAGTAGACGGGCTGCTGGCTTAGACCTAGAATGCCAAGACTTCAGTAAAAAAATCTTTTGTTCCTTTGGACAATAAACAATAGATTTAATCTGTAACTTGAACAGGCTCAAGAAAGGCTGTGCTACCTTTTCTCATAGATTAAATAGTTATCCCATCTATATTCTGTACAATGAATTAGTAGTCACACTGTTAGTGGCGAGAAAAGTAAGTTCTTCTTTTGTGATTGTTTTTGTACACAGAAGGTTATCCAGCATTAAAACCCTTCCTGTCTCCAATCATGATAGTAAATCATTTTCTGGGAAATGCTTCCTGATAAATACTGATTACCATGATCTTAATGCTAAATGGTAGGTACAAAGCGCATTCGTATGTGCAAACAGTGTAAATACAATTAATTGCAATGCAGCATAAACATCGCAAATTGATCAAACTCAACTGGAGTGCTCATTAAGATGAAATGAATATAATCAACAGAAGGCAATAAAAGAGGTTTATATTGAGAGTCTTTCCTCATGGAGCTAAATTATACTTGCCTCTTGTGTGCTAATGTTCAAAGGCTTTAGAGAATTTTTTCAATGACTGATTTTAGTCTCTTATAAATAAATGAACCAAAACACAGTAATTTTGCAAAAGAATTCTGTTCCAGGAAATCCTGGTGTTAACATCTTTGTATAAATGACATTTTTCTTTGAGAGATTTAAAAAAAACTTTTTGAATTTTGAATGCCTCGTTCTGCTACCTACCTTGCTAGTAGAAAAAAAAAATCAACAATGGCTTCTTGAAACATTTCCAAACCAGTTTTTATTTTGGATATTTCTAGATGTAACTCTTCTTTGCATCATAGGAGAGTTCCCATTTTGTAGCTTGCAAACCAGCCTATGTAGCATGCTCGTTTGCTTCTGAATTCCTCCCTATATATCACATCTATACAAGTGAGTGAAGTATAACAATCACAATATGTGTACACCTACTGATTTATCTTGCCTTGTACCACCTTTCTTTTATCCACCCATTCACTTTCCTTAAACACAGTAATTACAAATCTCACATGCATCTTTTTCTACTGCACTTTTACACCAGAATACTAGAAGCACAAAGTAGATCTCCTACTTTACACAGATACATATTTTTCTACTCCACTTTTACATCAGAATTCTAGAAACAAACACTACTTTCTGAGTGCTTCAAGCATTATCAATAACCCTGTGTTTTGAAAATGAAAAACCATTCCAAGTAGAATTGTAATGCCAAACTTCATGAGATCATCCCAGGTTTTTTTAAAAACCCATATTAGGGTGCTATGCAGCATGTACATTATGTGAGATATGTATTTTTGTTCTGGGATTGCCTGTGTAATATGATTATCCCCATTAAGAAAAAACATGAACATGAGACCAAATGTTAGTCACTAACCAAATGACAACAGAATTGTCTGGAATATGTGAAATCACATAATAAATTAGGTCATTTAAAAGTCAGTTTGGAAACAGCTGGTCTGGATGAGAAATCTCCAACTCAGCTAGTCTGCTCATACAATACTGACTAATCTTTTCAATGCTCATTTGAGATCAGCACCAGATGTTCCCCACCCATCAAAGTCTAGTTATTTTTCTCAATTCTTACTATATCAGGCCACAAAATAGATCAAGTAAGATGAGTTATCCTAACAGAGAAATGAATGGGCAAATTAGACGAAGTGGCTGCAAGAAGCAACACTTGTTCCTGTTTTGGAGAACAGTTAATTCTCCAGAAAAATATTCATCTATCTGGTTAATTTCACAGAAATTTCAGTTTGTAGAGGTCTATTTACCCTAGCTATAAAGAGGAAAGTTTTCCAGACATAGACTCTTTAAATTGCCAGGCACAACCAATCACTCACACATGCAGAGTTCCAGCTAATTACTTTATTACATCCTGCCTATAATACAGGAATCTCCCCAATCTGTGAACAATTAGAACTTGGAGGAGGGGGTAGATGTCAGCCCTAATGCTCTTGCAGTTGCACAGTGACTCCAGACTAGCTCTGCACTTGATCCCTCCTCCCCGCCAGGCTGGGTGCTTCCCAAGAATAATCTCACCACCACAGAATTTTGAAAAACACAAGTATTTTATAGAACCCAGAAGCATAGCTGTGATTTAGCCGGCTGCATCTTATCATGGTGCTGCTTCTATCTCTTTAAAGTTTATTATAAAAAGGCATACCATCCAATTTCATACCATCCAATTCAGACGTTAGTTTCAGTACTGAAGATGATGCACTTGCTAGGCATTATATCTTTTTAAAAAAAACTTTATTGATTAAAAAAATTCAAAAGTTATTTACAGTAGTTCTGCTCCATAAAGTTCAAGCAAAAGAATATTTTCTCTTTTGCAAAGTTCCCATCCCACCTGAAACAATATCTTTGCATCATTAGGACAAAGTACAGCAGTATAACAAAGAGCAGCGCATTGTAGGAACTGGATTTTAAATTTTCTTTTATACTAAAGTTTCAGATCTGTTTAGGCACTTTCTACAGCCCGTTAAGATATCCTGTGTATTATTTAATCACACTGGTCCCACGCTAAAGGAAATCAGTGATGTATGTACCATTAAAGTCAAGTACGTTACTAGCCAAAGGTGTATTTAAGAGGGACCTGGGACACAGCTGTTCAAGGAATTTCCATTTCAATAGTACACTAAATTAATGCCCAATTCCAAACAATAAGAAAATGAAATGTTGCTGCACATTCTAGAAAACCTTGAGTGGTTTCCTTTTAAAAGGATGTAAAAAAGAGATCAAAGAACTGATGTGTTCACTATCCAGAATTCAATTAAGGATGAAAACTGGACACAAGACTGATGAATGCCCTCCAACAAAATAGCAATAAATGAACAGCTTAAGCTTTTTCCAAGGCAATTCTGTGGGCTTTTTAACAGAGGGAGGGAAAGTACCTTTGGGTTATTTTAAAGATGACTTTGGGTTGAAATGGCAGCTCTCTAGGCACAGTTCACTACATCCCATCAATGACATGGGACTAAGGATCAAAGAGCACCAAAAAGAGAAAGGAATGGACGAGGCTGTGTCCAGCAGCAATTGTGGGTTTGTATTAATTGTCTTAGTAGCACTTTCCAGGGGAAGGGGAGAAGGTTGAGGGGGAAGGCACTCAACATTGATAGAAGCCATAAGGCTTCCCACTTGGGCTCTAATTTTTCTACGAACCATTTATTCTCCTCCCAAAATCTATCATGAAATCAATCACCCACCGGCTTCTAGGCCTGGTTCAAAGATTATCTGGGAGAAAGTTGTGTTCTGCTGGGCTTTTATCTTTACTATTCATGCAACATAATAATTAGGCTAACACCCTCTAACATTAGTGTTTCTCAAGATAGATATATAGGTGTATATAATAGATCACTATTTAACTTACATTTACAGTGAAACAGCACTATTCAAAAAAGAGGTGGATGACCCTACCACCACCCAGGGTATTATGCCATTCTTGTGCGAAGTCTTGAACTCAGGACAAAAGAGGATATGAAAAGATGAATGCATTCTTACTGGTCTGTCTTCTAAAATGATCAACAGACAGGCCTTGATTTCCCTCCACCTAAATCCAAAAGTGTACCCTTTTCTCTAATTTTGAATAATAAACTATTATTGGGTCCATTGAGACTATAGACACATGAGACATATGAATATCACACGGGAGTGAGTGATCATCAGAATTGCCAGTAGAATGGAAGCCCTGATCTGTTTTGACTTCCCTTCTTGGCCATGAGAGGGCACCCTTGCTCCATCAGCAAAGGAGCAACTACATTCAGCATGATGAAAGCAAGGATACAAAAATACCCAAGTCAGAATGAATTCTTGTTGATTTGTCTAGGTAGTTTTGTCAGCGCATCTGTCAGAGATGCCACAAGATTCCCAAAAGTCACACAGAGATACAGTTCATGTTCCAAAATTTTTTAAAAAAGGAGAAAGCATTGTTTAAAGCAACTTCACATTTGAAAATTTTGTTTTTAGTCTCTTACTCCTCCACACCTTTGAAATGCCCTCTCCGCCGTTTATGGCTACCCTTCTGCCAGCATAGTCCTCTCTCTCTTCTAGCATTGTACTTATCAGGACAAATGGAAGAAGGAGTAGACAGAAGAATGCCCAGTGATCAAAAAAAAAAACAAAAAAAAAACAGCTAAATTTCTGCCAGCACCTAAAGTGGATCATCCAAAGCACCATAATGCTTTTTAAGTTTCTTTTACTGGCACCAGTATTCACAAGGTGATGCTCAACTGATCTTTCTGTCCAACAGAAAGAAGAATGCCACAATCTTTAAAGGCTGCCAATTCGTTTGTTCGTTATGGGAGACTCCCATCAGGTGTGATGTAAGGACCAGCCACATATTCACACCAGTTCAACAATACACTACAACATGGTACAACTTTAAAAGAAAATGAGAGGGGAATAGAAACATTTCCCTGCCGCCTCCAAGGAAATTAAAATTAAAAGTATGTACTATATAAAAAAAAGCCGAAGGTGGTGAAATAGCTCTTTGCTTGTCTTCCATTATCAAAAGAAGGGGGGGCGGGGACGGTATTTGTTTCTGATAAATTGCTTTGGACTGTTTTCTTGTTCTAGTCCATGTCAGTAAGTTTTGAAAATCTGGGCGAGAGGGGAGGGGCGGGAAGAAGGTAAGAAGTATTGTCTAAATCCTCCACATTTTTTTTTTAAAAAGAAGAGTCAAGCATTATAAAAACATCATCCAGCAACTACATCTTCTCAGAAGATGTTCAGAAGTTTGGGGCCCTTCCAAGAGCAGCTTGGAGCTAGGAACCCCTAAACAGGCCATCTCCTCCGGGTGGCTTCAGAGAGATACTGACTGGAGATCCATAGCCTGATGCCAACCCAAAGGATGAAGTAGTGTGCCCGCCTTTTGAGGGAAATGTTTATGTAAAGTTGGGGGTGCCTTGTATTCCAAGATCAGCTGGCAGCTTAAGAGGAGAATGGAGGCTTCCACCATAACGGTTCCCGGTTTGACAAGAAACCGTATCACAGCATTAACTTCTAATGGGAGCTCTCGCTGCAAAGGCCAACAGAAAGGAAATCCTGGGGAAAAAAAGAAAAGGCTGCCTCCAAGAGGAAACCAAAGGCTGCAGGAAGTTACTTGTTTTTTGCCGGAGAAGATTCTCTCTGTGGTGATGGAGGCAGTTGCCCACTCAGCTTCTGTGAGTCAAGCTCTGCTGCCCTTTGCAGAGCCACTTCCACCAGCAACTGGAAGCTGCTGAAGTCCTCTCCGAAGAGCTCAGGTGGTGTTGGAGGAGGCGTGTTGAACAGTCCACTGGTGGGACTGGAGGCATCTGCCCGGGTGAGAAGAGCCAGCGTGTTGCCTGTTGCACTCAGCTGCGACTGTTGCTTGGTATGGGATTCCAGCTCAATCCGCTGGAGCATGGATCGTTTCTCTAGGTCTCCGGTCATCACAGTCAAGTTGCCAGCCAGTGGCCGAGAAGTCTGGCAGATCACAGGGGGGCATACAGACATGGAGAGGACCTTGGATGTAGTAGCTGCAACAGCCGCAGGAGGAGGCACCATCAGGAGTCCAGAACCTGCAGCAGCTCCACGGGAAAGTGCTACATCACTGGCTTTGGTGCCTCGGCGAGAAATAGTGAACTGGTTTGGGTCTTTGCCATCCTTTAGCAGCATATCGGGGAGAAGTCTGCGCCTAGCATTGATGAACCAATTGCAAATCTGGAAGAAAAATATCAAAAGGGTGGCATTAGATATACCTGAAGCTGGATGAAGACCTATGTGAACTCAAGGTTGTGGTGGGGAGATAGCGTTTCTCTCTCAACTTTCTACCAGTAGAATACAGAGAAATTTAAGGAAACTATTTAACAGCTATAATTGAAAGAGAAGTTTAAAATTAAGGGAAAGGGTAGAGAAAATTCAGTGGCACAGCATTATTTTTCTTTCTTGTATTACAACAAGCCTCCTGAGGCAAACCTAGATTGAGAAAAGAAATGCAAAATTATTTACTAGTATCTATTTATAAGAACAGGTAAGTTAACGCTTATTTATTTTTGCCCTGGACCAATCCACTTTTTTTGACATGCAACTACCTTCACAGCTAGTGTGGTCTTCAGCTTAGAATATTTTTTAACAGGAATTTATATCTACATGTAGTCCTTAATCTCAGTCCAAAATCCCAGCCACTAAACAATGCAGTCATAAGGCTTGCATTGTTAACAGCGAGTTATGAGTAGTTAAGTGGAGACAGTCCCAGGTAGAAGGGCAGGGGTGACACCAGGGATGGGGGAGGCCCAGCAAGTTGATGAGATGCTGCAGTGCAGCGCAAAGCCACAGCCGCCCCTGGAAACCTCAGCCTCAGCCACCAGTCAGCAATGCAGCACAAAACTAGTGCACCCAGAAGCCTCAGCCATTCCATCTAGCCCAGCAATGGTCGGACTACAGATATTCTGCAACTTCCCCCACTCACTTTTTTCTCCCCTCACCTAAGCACTTTAGCCCGCCCTGCACAGCAACACTCAGTAATGGCAGTATCCCATTAACTCAGGGCCCTCAGAAGTCTCAGTCAGCTGCCACTGTCTCCAGGCCTCTACTTCAGGCCCGGTGCCACATCACTGCCCCTGAGAAAAGCTACCTCAAGCTCACACCACGACCAGCTGTATCAGCACCACTGTGCAAAGTCACACCACCATTGTCCCTGCTACCCTCCACTCCCCAAGCTCTGCTGCACCCTACTGACCTTCGCTGCCTTAACCCATTCTCCCACCCTTGTGCCCCATTTCTTCTTCAAGCCAAGTGCCCCATTCTTTCTCAAGCCATGCATCCCATTCTTACAATCCTCCAGAAACCTGATCTTCCTCATGTCTTGTGAGAGCTTACCCGATTTCTCATGAGAACAGGCTCACAATTTGAGGAACAATTGGCGCTCACAATTTGAGGAACGGTCTTCCGAAGCACTGCCAAGAACCAGGTTCCTGCTGTTCTCATGAGATCTGTGGAAGACCAGAAGGTTTCCAAAGGATCTTGAGCAGCGGTGAAATCCTCTGAAGTCTGCTACCGATTCTGCAAGTCTGCTACTGAGCGTGCGCTTCGCGCACACATGTATGCTTAAGGCCCGCCCGTGCAGCGCTAAAAAAGGAACATTTTGAAGCCTTCCAAGTCTGCAAAGGTAAGTAGAACAGCAAGGGTGGGGGGAATCTGCTGTGCCATGTGATTTAGATTAGCTAGAAAGGAGGAAATCCAATGATTCTAGCTAATACAAATCGCGTGTCACAGCTGATTGTCACCCAGCTGATCATCGGAAATAGCAGTTCGCCCGAACCGGTTCAGGAGAACCGGTAGCATTTCACCCGATCTTGAGAATGGAACATGCAGCTTAGAGAAGGAATGATGAGCACAGCTCGGAGAGCTGCACAATAGTCACTGGGGCACAGCAAAGCTTGTGGAGTGCAGGGTGGTGGGAGCAAGTGGAGCTTTGTGCTGGTATAACTGGCCATGGTTTAGGGTTTGAGTAGGTATTTCTCAATTGCAACAGAGGTGCTGGGATTAAAGTAGAGCCCCCGGGGGGGTGGGGAGCATGTGGGTAAGAGTACAGTACTGAAGGCCTTGGATCTATACTTCGGTCCCAATCCTGCTACTGCCACTACTTAAGTGCTGCTGTGTAAGATGGCCAAAGGGAAGGGAATAGACTGGTGGGGAAATTGCAATGCAGTTAGAAGTGCAGGCAAGCTGCCAAGTACCTAGAATTTGATCATGTGAACGTGGATGCGCTACAATGGCCGTAACTTCAGGCTGGCTTGTAAATTCTGTTTTTCAGCACCATTATAATTTCAAACAGCCACTGAACAAATGGTCATATGTCGAGGACTACCTGAATGAAATAACTAATTTAACTATATTCATGCACTTTTCAATTAAAAGTAAAATCTTTTTTTTTTCCAAAGCTATCTACCTGTATACAAGTCTAGTATAACAATGTCCTTTCTTTCAAAGCACAATCCGCCAATCCACTCTGGGCAGGACTACCCAAAAATAAGTTTCAAAAACATCATAGTGATACTTTGGCCAACTATCACTAAGTGATTAGCTTTCCCAATTTCATGCACGTTATTCTCCCTTTAATCTCATCCCCAAAAAGATAACTCCTTTCTGAGCTTTTTCAAGGTCCTTAAAGAAGCAGCAAAGAAAATTGAAATGCACACATTGAAAACAGGGATATATATATTAAAAAAACTCCCTCATTTCAAAAAAAACAAAACACCATTTAACTAAAAAGCACCATTTACAATTTTATCTTGCATCCAAGAAAGCTTTAAGAACTCTGAAAATACTTTCATGATTCCTTGCAACAGACGGACGTTTTGTAAAAGAAAATAGGACACACTTCCATTCAGGCGAAGCTCAGAACAGAAATAGACTTTATGATTGTAACACCATGATTACAAGACAAACAATGCAGGTTTGAAAACATTCTGCATTCCTTCTGCCTGTTTTCACTTTGAGGGGCAAGAATAGAACTATTCAGTTGTCGTTTGAATTTCTCTTATTCTGTGTTACAAGCTGGGATCTGCCCAGCCAGCACAGGGTAAAGCACGGAAGACTTCTTCCAAGATTCCTGGCATACCTTCTCTCACGCCAGATATGTTGAAAAGTGAATAAAAAGTATGTTGGTTGTTTCCTTTGTATAGGCCAGAGCATTCTAGTTTATGATCACACACCTTCAAAGTTCCCGTCTACTTCTTTCAGTCCTAATTTGGCAACTTATTTATTACTTTCAACCAAAGGCTGGTTTTGTAAAAACAAAAACTGCCTGCCCAAAGTTTGCTTTATACAATTTATCTACAAAGAGATGATCGTTACTTAATTGGTTCGAGATCAAAGGAACTTGTAGGGCAATTCTTTTTGTTCAACGGTAAAGCCTTCTTCAGATCAAATTCAACGCCAGGTGACTCATGGACGCATCTAAACTATTTGCAGGTGGTCCACTCTGCTTCTAGGTTACTGTTTCTACCTAGCCAATTCTGACAACAGCCTCTGCATTTCTTGGGAAAGGTATGTCTGCCTTATTAAGATTTTGAGATTAGCCAATGTCAGCTTGCTGTGAAAGACGACAGAAATTAGAGAGTTGAGCTTGGAAGAAGGAATATATTAGAATTATATGCAATTCAGTGGTGGGTTTCAAAAATTTTTACTACCGGTTCTCTGGGTGTGGCTTGGTGGGCGTGGCAGGGGAAAGATACTGTAAAATCTCCATTCCCTCCCCAATGCAGGGGAGGTTACTGCAAAATCCCCATTTCCTCCTGATCAGCTGGGACTTGGAAGGCAGAGAATAGATGGGGGCGGGGCCAGTCAGAATTTTTACTACCGGTTCTCCGAACTACTCAAAATTTCCACTACTGGTTCTCCAGAACTGGTCAGAACCTGCTGAAACCCACCTCTGATACAATTGCATATAGTGTGCAAAGTGTAAATAGTGAAAAGGTGGGTTTTTTTTTTTTTACAGAATTTATGTTCATTAAAGTGCAACTAAATCTGAGGTAACTCAGGAATGATAAAACATGCAATTGATTACAGAATGCATAAACTGGGGCATAATCTCAGAAGGGGTGATAGACACCAATTTAGATATTTTAAATGGCGACTATATGACTATAGCAAAGAATCTGGCTACCAATGGCTATTAGTAAACGCAACGACCAAAACTGCATCTTGCATACTGTGTTTCCCCGAAAATAAGACCCTGTTTTATATTTTTTTGAACCCTGAAATAAGCACTTGGCCTTATTGCCATGCGCTCAAAAACTCGATTGGGCTTATTATCAGGGGATGTCTTATTTGGGGGGAAACAGGGTATTATAAATACCAGCTGCTAGGTAGGAATAATGAAAAGAGTGCTACTATCCTCCAGTCCAGAGTTATGAACTTCATGAAGACACATTACTGGCCTCTCTGGGACACAGAATACTTATGACTGGTATGCCATGTACAAGATCCACTAAGTTACTTATGTTTTTATGAGCAAAGCCCAATTTTCACTTGATAGAAAGAGTACCAAACTATAAAATGACTGTCTCTAGTTAGAACCAAGTTTATTCTTGCCAAACTGTATAGACCAGAATAGTTCTTATTCTGGAATAGAATACAAATGCTGCTAGCTAGAATATTTATACCCAACCACTCACAGCTTATTTTTGTATATTCGCTCTCCTATATAAGACCATTTATTCCCCAAGACGGGTGCTTCCTCCTGCGATGGGATTTCAGTTCCCCAAATTCTCAGGAGATCGATTGAGGAAGGCTACAGATGTCATGTTCTTGATGTCATGTTCCTAGATGGTTTTCCTCCCATGAGAGTAATTTGATGTAAGTAAAGGCAATTTAAATTATTGCAGGGAGAGAAAACAGAGTTAAAATATGCTAACTGGCTGATATATATTAATGGTATTATTTTCAACATTATTAATCACACTTTTCATCCAGGTCATCAATGTGGCTCTGAACTTGTTCCCTGAAGTTTTTGTTTTTTTTTAAAGTCCTCACAACAGGAAGGCGGCAGGGTTCAAAGTAAAGCAATAGTTTCTAGCTTCTTCTTTCTTTGCCTCAATCTCATGGACATATTGATGATTCCACTGGCAAAACATACAGAATCTTATTATGCATTTGAGCGGAGTCCTTTTTCATGTCAGCAGATCACTTTGAGTTTGCTATACTGGGTTACATAC